TTTTAAAATAATAATTTGGAAAAAATAATTATGTCCAATACTCGTTTTAACATAACTTTTTCAAATAAAGAGCAAATTAGTTTTAAAAACTTCATTTTGCAAAACATATTATGTGCATAACGAGCATAATGTAATTTTCAAACGTGCTTATAATTGAAACAATACATTACCTAGTTATAATAAAATAGTGTATTATAAGTTGCTTATAATTGCAACAGCACGTTACCAATTTATAATAAAATAGTGTATTATTTTTCTTTGAACATGTTATTTTTGTTCTTCGGAAGGATATATTATTGTATATTTTGGACAATGCAATGCCTAAAATTAAAGTAGGATAATTCCAATACACAAGCTTAGAATGTTTTCTTTAACATTTTTCACTATATAGAAAAATTAATTAATTATAAACTTGTTATTAATTTAGAAAAAGTCATATATTCAAAATAGAAAATGTATTATGTATTACCTATAATTAGAGTAGGACGTTACCTATTAACAATTTATACCTTTTTCCCTGAACTGTACTTTTTATTTTTGAAAAGGATATTTTATTGTATATTTTCGATAATACAATCCATAAAGGTAAAGTAGGTCAATTCCCACAAACTAACATTGAATTTCTTTATTTAACAATAGTTACTATAATTTAGAAAAGTAATTATATTATAATTTGCACATAATTGAAACAGGACATCACCAATGTATAATAAAATAGTGTTATTTTTCTTTGAACTTGTTATTTTTGTTCTTCAGAAGGATATATTATTGTATATTTTGGACAATGCAATGCCTAAAATTAAATTAAGATAATTCCAATACACAAGCGTAGAATTTTTTTCTTTAACGTTTGTCACTATATAGATAAATTAATTAAATATCCACTTGTTTTTAATTTAGAAAAAATCATATATTCAAAATAGAAAATTGATTATGTATTACCTATAATTAGAGCAGGACCTTACCTATTAACAATTTATACCTTTTTCCCTCCCTGAACTGTACTTTTTATTTTTGAAAAAGAATATTTTATTGTATATTTTCGATAATGCAATGCATAAAGGTAAAGTAGGTCAATTCCAACAAACTAACATTGAATTTTTTTATTTAACGATAGTTACTATAATTTAGAAAAGTAATTATATTATGATTTGCACATAATTGCAACAGGACATTACCTACGTTGAGTTTGTACCTTCTGTTGCCAACTTGCATTTTTTTTTATTAAAAAGGATATTATATCGTATATTTTATATAATGTAATTCCTAAATCTAAAGTAGGACATATCAATAACCAACATTGAATTTTGTGACCTATTCAATAACCGAACATTAACTTTTTTTCCTCTAACTTTAATACTATATAGATATTCTTTTTAATCCAATTTTTTTTTTTAAATTATAAAGTCAATGTTTATAATAGAAATTATCTTATGTATTGCTTGTCACTACAACATGACACAACCTAATCACAATTTTTTCCTCATGCTGTGAACTTGTATTTTTTTTAAGAGAAATGGTATCTAATCAATGTAATGCCTAAAAGTAAAGTATGAAATTTCCAATACATGAACATTTTAAAAAAGTCATTATTCATTATAGAAAATATAAATGTATTGTGTAATATTGTTACAGTATATTTCTAGTCATAATATAAACTATAATTTTATTAGAGTATTAGTGCTCTACCCATACATAGTGGTGAAGACTTGAATCATTATTTAATAACTTGTCAAAGTAGAAGTTACAATATGAATATGAGTAAAGACTTGAAAACATAATCTAAGACTGAACAGTGTCTGCTATAGTTTATCATATTTAGACAGAAGAATCACCCATCAACCTCTCAATGTTACTTTCAATATTGTGCTTGCTAAGAAGAAGCCTTGCCAAGCACTTTAATCGTTCAACACGCATGTCAGTTGTCTGGTCAAATAAAAAAAAAAAAATAAATAAAATAAATTAAACAGATTTATATAATTTGCGATAATAGTAAATGTTATGTTTAACAAGTAATAAAGTTTCATCCATACCGTGTAGGTAATTTCCTTCATGTCCCTGATATCACCACACTCGATATATTTCAAAACATATATTCCACAATCATGACTGAATAACAAAAAGTTTAAATTAGCTAAAGATTAAAATAATGAAAACACTTTGGTAAATGGAAAGATGTTATATATACCCATTCGATTGTTTCTGATTATCTAAAACTTCAAACACAATACTTTTGGAGTTTTTGAAAAATCGACCCAAGGGATTTCTCCGCATTGTAATAGCAGCAAAGTTAATCTAATCACAAATTCAGAAACACAATCAATTTCAGAATAGGAATCTGTTATCTTCTGTCAATGATAGTTACCATATTAATAAACTATAAAGTCAAATAGTTACCATATCCATAGCAAGACGGTTTCGTTTGTCAGTGATCTCTAGCGAATCAACAATGTATACCTTTCTGATAGAGACATGATATACCAATAGGAACCAATGATTCACAAAAGATTCTGTAACGGGTATGAATATCTGATGACCAAACACATTTGGAACAGTCATATCATCAAAGACATTACAATTTTAGGTTGTACAGAACTTAGATTACATATCTCAAATATCTCCAACCTGTTCAATCTTGTTGAGATCCACAAGCTTTAAAAAAAGCTTCATAAATTTTGGAACAGTATCCGAGAATGGATGGAGTTGTGTAATGTTCGCATCGTGGATCTGACTTCAGTACTAAAGTCTACAAGCAACATATATAATCCGAAATCATATCAACAGTGAAAAATAAACACTATGTACTTGAAATGTCCTACGTTAATTTTAGGCAGTACCTGGAATGATGCTGGCAAAATGAGCTTAGATTTGTCATTTAATTCCATTAGGATATCATACAGATAGACATTTATGAGCTGCAATTGAAAATAAGTAAGTATCACGTTCCCCAAAACAAAGTCAATGAGGAATATTGAATAGTAGTATACCTGATTACTTAACCACATATCTGGATACAAACACCAAGATTCACCAACAGACAACCTGATAAGCGAGTGATCTTTTGTACAATAGAATTCATCAGATTCTTCCGCTTTCTCAACCTGTATACATATCTGTTTCTCCAAGGGTGATAGCTGTGACACATAATTAAGATATAATGGTTGTTGTAAACAATCTTCCTGTAACGGCACACTCCCCCATTATCATCACCATTATGTACTTCAATCGCAGTTTTTTGTCCCCGAGGATTATAAGAAAGGAGAATAAGAACGATTTCGATATGGAGTTTTACCGACGGTATCGCCTTCTTTGTCACTCTTACAATCAGTTGATTCTGGAACCTTTGATATACTCTGTGATATAGTAGCAACTTCAGCTACGAGTTTATCCAATTTTAACTCAATTTTTGACAATTTGGAGTGAATATCTTTCTCCATTGCACTACTTCTCTACAATGAAAAAGAATAGATCATGAGTGATTTAAAGATGGGGTTTTACCATTATATATGAATTAAATTGTTTACAACATAAACCCTATATCCAATTTTGATTCATTAATAGAGGATTGCATATTTATAACAAAATTGTATAGTTTGTTCAAAAAATTACAACATAAAACCTATATAGATGAAATTAATATTCTAAATTACTACATTCAAAACATAAAAACTTTTAAACACATTCATAAATGAAAAATTGTTCAAAAAATTCAAATCAATTTAGAATATACTTACTTCTGCTTTCTTAACCATGATTTGAGTTCCAAAGGTAATTTTAATTTTGCAAGTTCTGAAACAAATTCGGTTGAATAGTGTGCCAGAATGATTCAGCGAAAAAAACCTAATGATAATGTTTAAAAAGATTCTTAAAATTTGAAAGATAATTTTTTCAAAATTCAAAAGATAATATTTTAGGAAAGGATATTGATGAGATCCCCGCACATTATAGGTATTTCCTAATATTTGACTAAAATTTCTTTAGTTAAAACATATTGAGATCGTAATCTATTATTCGAATATTTATGTAAGATTCATTTAGATAATTTGGCTAGGTTCAGCGTAAAATACGTACCATTTAAATGACATTCAATTCTATTCATTAGTAATGTCCAATGTTACGTATGGTCGTAACCCATCTATTTTAGAGATGTTTCATACAGGTAATGTCCAATATCTATTTGTGTTAGTTACGTATACACAAACAAAAGTTAGATTAACATAAGCGTATTTTTTGGATCAAACAGGTTTCGAAAAAAAAAAATGTTATCGGTTTCTTCTTAGAATTTCATGTCGAACCCAGATTCTTGAAAAACGTAAAAACTATTGAATTCGATTGCATCAAATCGGATATTTCGCATCAATGGAAGGATTTTATACAATAAAAACTAATTATTCAAGTATTTTTAACCAATACCGCTGCCGATAAAACTCGGAATTCTAATAACTTGTAATATCGAATATGATGTTTGGATCAGGCCCTATTTTTGATGATAATCGATGCGAAAGTAACCCTGTGGTTCAAAGATTATTAAGAAGAGGTTAAATTCATCCATAGGAAATGAATAAGAATGAAGAACACGAAAACAATGAAGAACATATTTTTTGATTTTTTATTTTTTAATTTAATTTAATTTTCGGATTTAATTAAAGCTGATTTTTGAAAAATAATTTCTGAAATATAAAATAGAATTTCGAAAAAGGAAAAAGTATTTTTCAGAAAATAGAAAAGAAATAAAAATAGAAAAATAAGAAAAGGTAAGTTTGACCAACAATTTAATGAAAGAGATGTTAACCGATAAAATTCAAGCATAGCTATGGTCATATTTGAAGATGACCACTCTAGAATTCCCCTATTTAAAATGTCAAATTGTTAAATTTGTTGTGAAAGAGAGAGTGATTAAATTTTTATTTTATTTATTACAAAAAATGTGATGTAGTTCTCCACGATCTTTATTGGGCCGAGCAGCGCTCGAGATGAATCAAATATGAAAATTCTCGGCCCAATTTTGCCAAAGGCTTCTGAAACTGAGATTAAGCGCAACAACGGAACAAGATAAGGCGAAATCACTAGAGGTGGAAAACATTACTTCCACACTCCATATCAAAGAGCAGAGAAACTCGAAAAAAAAGAAGCCAAAAACAATCAAAACAATGTCAGTGTCAGCCATATTTGGTACCAGAATCGCAGCAATCCCATCCAACGGCGGTGTTGGGGTTAATGGCGGAAATGCAGTGAAATTGCAACCGTCAAACGGCGGCGTAGTGATAATAGAATGTTCATCAAGGCCACAGAAGAAGGGAACTGCTCACCACATGAAGACTCGACCTAAGAAGACTGCTGCTTGGGAATTAAGACGTCGTCCTGCTGTTTATCCTCCTCTCCCTCCTCTTCCTGCTGAGTGGACCATTGTTTCTTCTGCTTCTGAGGAAGTCGATTATTCGTCTTCTACTGCTACTACGTCTACTCAGACTCAGTAATTATCTTCGCTTTAATTCAATTTGTGTTTTGAGTTTTGTTTTTGTATTATGCCTATAAACTGTTTGATGAAATGTTTGTGTAACTCTGTTTTTGACTTTTTGTTATGTTTTATGCAAAGAGATTTTGTAATTTGAATTTTATTTGGTAATCACTGCAATTCAAAGCTTTAATTAGTACTGTGTTATCAGTTTATTACGTACTTAAACTGGCCAAGGTTGCAAAGGAAGCAAAATAGCTGAAACTCCCGTTTGGATTTGGTTCAAGTTCATTCAACCCTAAATTATGTTTTTGATTTTGGAATTGAAATATGGTCTGATCCACCATTTTAGCAAATTCAAAATAAATAAAAATGACCCAATTTGAATTAGTTTTAGTTTGTATTTCTATGGATTTAATCTAAATAACTAGAGTTACACTAGTTGACTTGATGGGTCAATTACTCAATTGTTTTGGGTTTTGGTTGTGCCATTTATGAGACACTATTGTTCTATATTTTGGTTTTGTTTTAACTTATTTAATCAATATAAATAGGATCAAATAATTGGATTAATTACTTAGGGTATAAATGAATTTGTCATGACTCTCATGAGTAGAAACATTAAAGTTGACGAGAATAGACACACATAATCGACTGAACAAATTATAATCAAGAAATGAGGTTTCAAAACTAATTTGAACTCGTATGATGTAAAGCCAACTCAAGATTTTGACTTGTATAAACTCGATATATGATTTGGCTCAAATCATTATGAGAGTGAAGTTGAACCTAAATTTATTTCACATTTTTGTTAATTTGACTAAAACCAACATAATATTCAAAATCTATGTGACTTCAATGAAACTAATATGCATCATATACCCGACTGAAGAAGGCAAATATTCTGAATCCCATTTACAAGATTTATTATTGTACCAACCTATATAACCTAATTGTATATATCAATTTAGTTTAGGACTATCCTAATTATATCAATGTACGGAGTAACATTTAATTATGGTTAATTATTTTATTTCTTTCATTATAAAATAGTTTGAAATCTTTGAACGATTATCATCAAACAATGTTTGAAGTTGAACAATATGTTATATGCTTTTATCTCATATCCTAAATTTCTTGAATACTTCGACCATGTTTGGTAAATGGCTTTTTGGTGGTTTTTTGGTTAGTTTTGGTTTTTAGCTTTTTTATGAGGTCAAACAGCCAAAAAATGTGTTTGGTAATTGACTTTTTAGCCAGTGAAAAAGTTGGCTTTGAAGCCAAAATGAAAAAGCTGCTTTGAGTAGCTTTTTTGTTGGCTTTTGGCTTGTTGGCCCACAAATTATCTAATAAACAGTCAACTACCAACAATTAATTTATCAAACACTTTTATAAACAGCCAGCTTTAACAACCAATTTCAAAAGCCATTATAAACAGCCAATCATACCAGCTGGTCAAACAAGCCAAGTGAACCAGCCAACAACCAACCGCCAACAGCCACTTGCCAAACAAGGCCTTCGTTTAGTAAAAGAAGATAACTCTTAGCACATTTGGTCGAATATTGTTTAGGGTAAAAATACCCTAGACACGTGGACCAATGAGAGGAGGCCACGTGTCGAGTTCAGGATGGCCCACGTGGCCTAATATCCTCTCGACACATGGCCCCCTTGGATAAACTTCTGAAATGGCGGCCTTCAAAGGCCCAAATCCCAAGAAGCGCTGTAAAACGGCGCAGCCCACCAAAATCTAGGTCAAGTGACCTAGACAAGGGCACATTCTCCAATGACCCTATAAATAGGGAGATATTTCCCCACCTTGGGGACACGTTCAATCATTTATTACACCCATATTCTCTCTCATCAGAGAAACACCTGAGCTTGGAATCCAAGCAGATCCCCACCTAAATTTCCGTACTATTTATTTCCTTTCAAGTTACTAACTTGATCTTCGGAGGCGGAGCTCCAACCACCCGGAGTCTCCGTTGTTTTACAGGTACAACTCAGCCGGGCCAATCTTTGTGACGTAACTCTCCCAAGGGACAAAAACACCAACAACATTTGGCGCCGTCTGTGGGAAGAGTACCTCGAAGATGGTTCAAGAGTCTGTACCACCCCCTAAGCGTCTGGGCCATGACCCGGAAGTTTTCACAGACCAAGAGGATGAAGATCCTCAGGTTGAAACCTATACAACCGATGATGGCTCTCTGATAACCAAGCGCATCCGGCCCATAGACACTCTGGAGCGGGGTGCCACCCAGGCGGGTACAAGTCGACCTCCTGGGCAGCCGGAAGAAGAAACCCACACGGCAGCTGGATCAGCACCTGTCACCCGAGACGAACTCATGAGGTTCATGACAAGTTTCAAGGGTGAAATCAAAGAACTAATCACTAAGAGTCGGGCTGGCCCAAGTAGGGGTCAGTCGGCAAAAAAGACTCCTCTGGAAAAGGGGAAGTCAGTCAGAGATCGGCAGCCAACTCCTCATCCAAAGGAGAAGGCAGCCGGGACCATTGATTGGTCCAAAATTCTTCTGCCTAAGAGGAATACCAACAACCCCGCCGGACTTAACAGCCGGTGGGAAGCAAAAAATCAACTCTTGATGCCCGGGAGATCATCACCCGCAAGAGGAATCAGCAGTTGTCTGAGTCGGCTTCTACGTTGAACTTTCCATACAGCTTCAACAACACCTCTGCAGGGAATGCACTTTCCCTGCATGAGAGCCAGACAGGCGGTAATACCGTCCATTCTGGCCCTCAGATGATTGGGAATGCACCGTATGTACCTTCTTAGGTCTACGGTTAGTATCCTCCTTATTTCATGCAGCCGGCCTTCTTCGGAGGTCAGGCAGCATACAACAATGTCCAGCCACTGGACTGGCAGCTCCGTCTGCTCCGCCTGGGTGAACAACCTTCTGCGTTCACCCGGGAGACAACCGAAGCGGCACAACCTGCCAAGGTTAAAAATGTGTTGGTAGGTACCTATGACGATACCACCAACTCGGAAGATCACCTCATGGAATACACCAACCTCATGTACTTACAAGGGTTGTATGATGCCACTTGGTGTCGATGCTTCCCGGCTACATTGAAGGGCATTGCCCAACAATGGTTTGGCAACCTGCCAGGCGGGTCCATCAATTGTTTCAGGAAGCTTGCCTTCCTGTTTGCTTCCAACTTCTCAATGAACATCCCTGCTAAGAAAACAAGTCTTGACTTGAGCACCATTAAGCAGGGGGGGAGAGAAGGGCTCCGCTCCTATGTCAGGTGGTTCAATCTGATTAGAATTCAGATTCAAGGACTGTCTGATGAGGTGGCTTTTACAGACTTTTTCAAGGGTCTGAGAGACGGGTCGACTTTTAAGTTCGACCTAGTCAGAAAAGGGGCTTTCACTTTACAGGCGGCCCTGAGGGAGGCGGAAAGCTATATTCAAGCAACCGACCTCTGCTCGCCTGGTAATCAGTCGGACTCCAAGATGTCTGACAAGCAGAAAGACAGCCGACCTGCTCAGCCGGCCAAGAAGAAAGAAGAGAGCAAGAAAAGAAAAGAAATCTGGACGGTTAATGATTCTGACCAGCCGTCTCAAAAAAGAAGAAAGAATTTAAACCGTACGTTCCAAAGTACGAGTTTAAAAAGGACTGCAACTCCATCCTCATGGAAATTAAGGATCGACTGTCCCTAGAGAAGCCGAATCCAATGAAAAGTTTCATTCAATCAAGGAACAAAAACAAATTCTGTCAATACCATGAGGAAGTTGGCCATGACACCAACGACTGCTTTAGCCTCCAACGGGCATTGGATTGTCAGGCTGACAAGTGGATGTTAAAGTCCTACATTTTTAAGTCCAAAAGAAGTAATAAGAAGAACCAGGGGCAGTCGTCTAAGACACCCCAGCCTGATAGTAGTTCGGACACTGATAAGGAGCCGGTCTACATAATATCAGGCGGGTTCTCATGCGGTGGCCCTACCATCCGGGGCACCAAGAGCCATCTTCGAAAGATGGACAAAGATGATGATGAGCAGGCGTCTGCTAGCTCCTCCTTCCCAAACGTCCTGATCACTGAGAAGGACAGGGGAAGCGTCCGCCGTTCGCATGATGACCCGGTTGTCATTGAATGTAAGGTTGCCAATCAGCTGGTTGGACGAATCCTTATTGACACCGGCAGCTCATCGGACATCATCAGCCTCCGGTGCCTGCAAAAGCTGAAATACAATGTCAGCAGCATGCATCCGGTTACCCACCCCTTGGTTGGTTTTGGGGGTGGAATGGTTTACCCAGACAGAAAGGTTGATTTACCAATCCGGCTGGGTGAGAAAGGAAAAGGGCGACACCTGGTCGTCAAGTTCTTGGTCGTTGAAAAGCTGACCGCCTACAACATTATTCTGGGCCGGCCAACCCTCAACGAAGCCAAGGCTGTAATCATCCCTTCCCTCATGCTCATCAAGTATGAGAGGGATGACGGCTCTGTTGGTTCCTTGAATGGGGATCAAAAGATGGCCCGGGAGTGTTATCTCTCAGCCGTAAAAGATACTGTGGCCCCAAACAGCAAGGAGCAAATAGACCTTGACAATGACAAGGATGCCAACCCAGCCCCACCAGCAGCCGGAAAGAAAAGAAAGGCACCTCTGCTGGTGGAGGTGAAGAAAGAGAAAAAAATAGCAATCACTGACCGGGGAACGGTCAAATGAGCTCCGTCCCCAACCGGCTGGAGAACATGTTGATATACCTCTGGACGACAGCCGTCCCGAGCGTACTGTAAAGGTTGGGACGGTTGCTTATGCTAAGTTGGGTGCAGACTTGCACCTCGTGCTGAAAGAATTCAAAGACATTTTTGCCTTTGAAGTGGAAGAGATGTCAGGCGTCAGCCCGGATCTTGTTGTCCACAAACTCGCCGTGGATCCTAAAAAGAAGCCCATCCGGCAAAAGAAAAGAAATCACGGCGAGGAAAGAAGTCAGGCGGCAACTGCCGAAGTTAAAAAGCTATTGGACGCTGGGTTTATTCGGCCATGTAATTTTCCCGACTGGGTGGCGAATGTTGTGCTTGTAAAGAAGTCGAATGGTACCTGGCGTATGTGTGTTGATTACACAGACCTCAACAAGGCATGTCCTAAGGACAGTTATCCGCTTCCAAAGATCGACAGTCTGGTCGATTCGACAGCCAGGCATGCCTTGATGAGTTTCATGGATGCCTACTCCGGCTTCCATCGGATACCCCTGTGGAAGAAAGATCAAGAGAAGACGGCCTTCGTCACTAATCAGGGGTTATTCTGTTACACTGTGATGTCGTTTGGCTTGTAAAATGCGCCGGCTACATTCCAACGGATGATTAATACGGTCTTCATTAATCAAATTGGGAGGAATGTGGAGGCGTACATTGATGACATGATAGTCAAATCCAAGCAGCAGGCGGATCACCTTACTGATCTCCCAGAAACCTTCACCACACTCAGGCGGCATAAGGTTATGTTAAATCCTAAGAAATGCATCTTAGGTGTTGAGTTTGGGAAGTTTCTCGGATTCCTGATTGATCAAAGGGAGATAGAGGCTAACCCCGAGAAGATACAGGCGGTAATTGACATGAAGTCACCCCGCACTATCAAGGAAGCGCAAAGACTAACCGGTTGCCTGGCGGCCTTGGGGAGGTTCCTCAGTCGGTCAGGTGACAAATGTCTTTACTTCTTCCAAGCAATTAGGAAGAAGACCAAATTTGAATGGGGCGATGATGCTGAGGCGGCCTTTCAACGGCTGAAAGAACACTTGCAATCTTTGCCAAGGCTTGTTAGTCCTCTGCCTAAAGAGTTGTTATATATGTACCTAGCCGTCTCAAATCATGCCCTCAGTGATGTTCTCCTTGTTGAGAGAGACGTCATTCAGCTCCCGGTCTATTTCATTAGCCATGTTCTAAAAAATGCTGAGCTCCGGTATCCCATGGTTGAAAATTTTGGCCTTGCCTTGTATATGGCTTTCAAGAAATTGAAGCCGTATTTTCTGGCCCATCCGGTGGTAATTTACACCGACCAGCCCCTCAAGCGGCCAATGTCTACCTTGGAATCATCCGGCAGAATGTTAAAATGGGCTATTGAAATGCAAAGTCTTGAAATCACTTTTGAACCTAGAAAGGCAGTGAAAGGTCAGGCGTTTGCCGACTTCATTGTTGAAATGACACGACCGGTGCAACCGGATAACATTGACCAGGTTTGGAAAGTGTATGTAGACGGGAGCTCGACGAAGAACGGTTGCGGCGCAGGAATCATATATGAGTCCCCAGAGGGGGACAGATTTGAATATGCACTGCGGTTTAAGTTTCAAGCCTTAAATAACGAGGCGGAGTATGAAGCCCTGCTAGCCGAAATTCGCATGTGTAAGGCAGCAGAGGCAACTAAAATTGATGCCTACTCTGATTCACAGTTGGTCGTTAGCCAGTATGAGGGAAAATATGAGGCAACTTATCCGGCTATGATCAAATACCTTCAGGCAGTCAAAGAAGAGGATGGGGCACTTGAGGAATTTTGTCTGAATCAAGTGCCCAGGTCGAATAACAATCAGGCGGATGCGTTGTCCAAATTGGCTTTATCCGCCTGCTGTGATACGCCTCGGTCGGTCTTTTGGGATGTTCTTGAAAAGAGAGCATATATTAAGAGCCCATTGGAATTCTGGACCGATGCTCTACCTGGATGGATGGCATCCGGGCATATTTAGCAGACGGTATACTTCCTGATTCACCACAGGAAGCAGCCGTCATGAAGAAGCGAACAACAAACTTCGAGTTGAGAAACGGAGAGCTCTTCAAGGCGGGTTTCCTTAAACCTCTATTGAAGTGTGTTACCCCAGAAAAGGGGAAAGAAGTTCTCGAAGAATTGCATGCTGGGTACTGCGCCTCTCATATAGGCGGCAGGTCCCTAGCTATCAGAGCCGGGCGACATTACTTCTGGCCTACTCTTGAAGCAGACGCTAAAGAGTTGGTGAAGAGATGTGATAAATGCAAGAGGTTTGGCAAGCTCATTCACCTCCCGACTACTGATCTGACGGCAATCCACAGCCAGTCTCGTTTGCTAAATGGGGCATGGATATCTTGGGTCCTTATACGCCTGCTCCAGGTGGAAAGCGCTATAATTTGGTGGCTATGGATTATTTCACCAAATGGGTAGAAGCTGAGCCGGTTAAGAACATCAAGACAAAGGATGTCATCTCTTTCATTTGGAAGAACATCATCACCCGATTTGGGGTACCTATGTCTATGGTGTTTGATAGTGGTCCTCAGTTTGAAACCCCTCATCTTAAGACTTGGTTGGGAGATCAGGGTATCTCACATTGTTTTGCATCAGTTGGTCGACCCCAAGCAAACGGCCATGTCGAAGCCTTCAACAAACTCATCTCAGACGGCGTAAAAAAGAAAATTGAAAGAGTCGGTGGCTTATGGGCAGAAGAGTTAATCTATGTCCTATGGGCCATCCGGACTACTGCCAAAGGGGCAACCGTGAAACCCCATTTCTAATGGTGTACGGTGCTGAAGTTGTCCTGCCCATTGAACATTACGAGCCGACTCTACGAGTTATGCTTTATGATGAAGAGGCAAATTGGGAGGCCATGCGGCTAGCATTGGACTCCCTCCCGGAACGCAGGGGCAACGCTGCCCTGCGCCATGAGATTTACCGTCTGAGAATGACCAGAGCCTACAACAAGAAAGTGCACAAGCGTCCTTTGAAAGTTGACGACTTTGTATTACGAAAAATGGAGGCAACCGGTAGGGCCAATGAAGCTAGAAAACTAACTCCTAATTGGGAAGGCCCCTACCGGATTTATGAAGAAGTCAGGGATGGCACCTACCGTCTGGAAACCCCAGACGGCCGGCGTCTGCCTAGAACTTGGAATGTAGATAATTTAAAAAAGTACTACTTCTGAGAAATGTAAATTTTTGTAAACAATAAGTCCATTAATGAGAATTCAGACTTTATTTGCATAATTATTTTGCTATTTTTATTACTTATCCGCCTGAGATATCCTAAGATGGAACTCATGTTGGACTGCCTAAGTTTGACACTTGGCGTAAGTTCAACTATATAATTGTCTGTCCGCCTGGGTAATACTCAGACGGACTCTTTGTTTAACTAACTAAGTGTGATACTTGGTGTAATTTAATGTTATAATTGCTTGTCCGCCTGGGTAATACTCAGACGGACTATTTGTTTAACCAACTAAGTTCGACATTTAGTGTAAATTCAATGTTGTAATAACGCTCGGCCAATGGTCCGATTAAAAAACTAAGCACAAAAACGCTGTGGCTATACAACCGGTCTCAAAAAAGACCAAAGGCCAAAATGGCCGGATGGTTGCTTATTTTATAAAACCTCCTGTCCCAACATGGACAAAGACGTCCGGCGACACCCTTCCGGGTGAAATCGTCGCAGAGAACAGACTATTCGTCGGTTCTACGTACCTATGCAGACGACGAAAATTGAACGACCGAATTGGTCAACTCATAGCCGTCTGACCAGAATAATCTATGAAGAACGATTAAGTTACCGAATACTGGATGCCCCGAGGCATCAATCGGTTATCGGCTGAAGTTCTCAGTTAGGTTATTTATTCCAAAGTTGCACTCTCTCCCCCAATTGGGGCAAAAGATTTTGTGTATTGGCTATGTGATAACCCCAGACGGAATATAACTGCCTGGGTAAGAAGCTCAAAGGACCCGCTCTAATGGTCTCCTGTGCACTTGGTTTGGGGCAATCACCATTGTGATTGATTGCCCTAAAAACACTCCATTCTTCTCCTAGTATCAAGTGTTTTCAAGCCAATCAATCAATTTGAAATAAAACCAACCACACAGCCGTCCAGGGGCAAGAGCACCCGGATTGCAAATTGCCGCATGCTTTTTTAAGTTAGGCAAAATATTAAAGAATTACAAACATACGCAAAATTCAAATTGAAAAATTCAAACACAAACATATATAAACACCGACTGAGTCGGAATACTTCATTAATATTTAAAATGGCACAAAGGCCAAAATAAGTGTTAACCGGAGTCACATTTGGTGAAGAGAGAAAGAAATAAAATGTTAACCCAACTCCATAGTTGGTAAAGATACAACACTACACGGCATACAAGCCGGTAAAGAAACAAATTGGCATACTGCCGCAGAAAGTGGGGAGGCCCGCCTAGAGCTGAGGTGGATACTGATGCTCCGGCTGATTTTGGCCAGTTGGGCCTTCATTTTGCTCATCCGCCGCCGGCTCATCATTATCAGAGACTTCATATCCCTGCTCGGCAGCCCAATCCTTGAAGCGAGGCGGAGGAGCCTTACCCAGCACTTGGGCATCATACACCTCAGTGGTGTAATCATACCTGAGTTTATAAACCTCAAAGTCTATATCTGGGTAGAGGAGGCTCTAAGTGATCTTCAGGCGGGCCAGATTATCACGCTCATTCTCCTGTATTAGCCGCTTTTGCTCTTGGGCGAGCTCGTCCGACTGCTTGTTTCGCAGAGTGACGAGCTCAACCCCCCAGGCGGGAAACGTTTGCTCGGAGTTGGGTGTTTTCCTGATCAGCATCCTCTAATGCCTTGAGCTCAAATTTTGCATCTTTCAGCTTTTTCTCAAGGTCATCAGCCCGACTGTTGGCTTCATCGTTCGCAGCCATCAAGCTCCGGATCAGCTCCTCCTGTTTCAACTCTACTGCTATAATCTTAAAATCACACATATAATTCGCATATTCAGCAGAGTTGAGGTTTTCAAGGGCCCTCCGTTTGGCGTCATTTATCTCCTTGCTTCCGCCTTAAGGGGCCCCGGAGTCCGTCCACCCTCAGCATTACTTGAGAAAAGAGCAGCCGGATTATGATTTACTTAGTAAAATTAAAAGAAAAGATATCAGGGTTATGGGATTCTTTACCTCAGCCAACTGGCCCATTATCCGGTCTAAGTCCACTACCTGCAGATCAGGTATGGAGTTCTTCTCTAACCGGGTGAGGGTCCTCACCATCCGTTTTGCGAAACCTACAAGATCCGGCTCGTCGGATGTCAGATTTGCATCAAAAGTAGTACTCTGTGAGTAAGAGGCAACATAGTTGGCACTCATTCGTTGTCGGCTGCTGACTGAACCCCCAGAGGGGTCAACCTTAGTCTTGAATCTCATGAAGTCAAGTGGCCAAGGTATTTCAATCCTTCCCTTACCTTGTGTGTCCGGATGGGGCGTAGGCGTATGCTCCTCCCCGGTTGTTGCTGCACCGTCTGCAACATTAGGTGGCAAGCCACCCTTCGATGTCGTTGAGGCATCCGGCGCTTTCTGATGTGAACGTTCTGAGCTTTCGCTCAGAATCTTCATAACAGAAGGAGATTTGCCTCCGGTCGCTGGACGATCGGATTTGGCAGCAGAGCTTGTCCGGGGAGGGGGGTCCTTTTTGGCGGCCTTCGCAACCGGAGCTTTTTCCAGATCATCTCCTTGCCTTTTGAGAAGCTTGGAGAAGGATCGTGGCACTCGCTTTACAGTGTTCTGAGAAATGAACAAGGTTAAGTGTACCCAATCGGCAAAATGCCTATATATATATATATATATATATATATATATATATATATATATATATATATATATATATATATATAAGAAAAAAAAAATAAATATATATACATATAAAGTCAGGCGGTCTTACCTCGCCTTTCTTAGACTTTTGCATCGACGGCTGCTTTCTTGGCAATTGCAGCCTCTTTGTGCAGCAGCGCCGCCAATTTAGCCGGAGTCTTTGCTGGATCAACCATCTTCAAGGCGACGGCTGCATGAATAGAATTCAAGGTTAGAAGAAATTATGGAAAGTTTGTATTAATAAAATAACAAATACTCCGGATGTAAGGTGATCTACCCTTGGAAAACATGGGACTTAACCCACAGGCGAACAAGAAGCATTCGTCCTTGAAGAAGTCCGGATGGGGGATCCAGTTTTTGGGAACTATGATGTGAGTCCCATCCCCCATGGGCTCGGTTGTGGTCTCAAAGAATCCCGGCTCCATTATTTGTTCCTGAGCCTTAGTAGATAGCTCCGTGAGAGGGAATTTCCTGCCCAGAAGAGCTGGCTCGGTGTTGTACTGGCGCAGTGTCCGGTTATGTCTCAGAGTTGGGGAAGAAACCAAATAAAACTTGTCCTTCCACCCGGACCACTTGGACACTTTGTCCAAACTCATCAAATATTGGGGCAAGGTAGTAAGAGTATACCATGCCCCATGACCGCCTGGGGCCTTGCTCAAATAATGCATGTGAGCGAAGGCGGAGAAGCTGGGGTTTATATTCTGGAGCTCACAGGCGGCGATGTAGCTTAGAATGTTCACCCACGAGTTGGGGGTGAGCTGCCAAACTCCTAAATCGTACCCTTTCAGGATTTTCCTAATCCCAGTATGAAGGGGGAACCGGAGGCCGGCTTCAATGACCGCCTCGTAGCAGACAAAGTAATGGTCTGCGTTGTCAATGTCATCGCTCCAGGCCATTACCGCGTCAGCCGGCGGAACGATGATGTCCCAGCCCCTTCCAAAGGGGTGCTTTTCTTTAAAAGCCCTAAAGCCGCTCTTTAGTAGGGCAATGTTACCCGGCAGCATTCTAGTTCGTTTGGGGTTGGGGTGGTCGGCGACCTTAGGCGGGTGCTGATAGTCAGCCGCAAAGTTATCCTGGTCAAAGCCAGAAGATTCGGCCCTTGACCCTTCGCCGGCCTCAGCATCGTCGGTTCCGTTAGAGGAGGCGGCTTCTTCACCGTCTACCTCTCGTACACTTGAGCTCCCGGAAGTAGTAGGAGCCTCTTCATCAGAACCACTCTCCTCAAAATCCCTCTGTTCCCCGTCTAGAACAACCTCATCGACTGGCACTGATATAGTGCGCCGGCTCTTAGACCTTCTGGTCGTCTGTTTCGTTCTGGCCATTGTGTCCTGCACAGACACGGAGAGGGAGGAATTCGGAGATGAGCACATCGGTTCTGACAGTCCAGAAAAGGCACCCCCTGTTCTAGACTCAGCCGTTCCGGGGGACCGGCTGAGTATCCTAGGCAGTGCCGAGTGTGTGGATTGAGAACTCATTTTTATTTTCGAAAACTATGTATACAGGCGGAGAAAGAATGTATACAAGTTGAAAAAGAGAAAAGCTAAAATGGTACAGGCGGTTACCTTACTTTAACTCTTATTAATCTAAAAACCGCTACAGCCAGTAAACCGGGTGTTGAACTGCTAGCACGCGGAAACTTGAAAGTACTTTGGCGCAGACGGAGGCAGAGAATCTCTCTCTAGAAGCTCTCTCTTTCTCTCTCTAAAAAGTCAAATGTGAATAAGGTGAGGAAAAAGGGGAGGTAAACTTCTATTTATAGAAGGTGAAAACGGGGGGAAATTCCTGTTTGAAATTCAAATTTTACTACCCGTTACTGTTCACCTCTGATAGGTGGACACGTGTCACAGGCCTCACGTGATATACGCGTGACCCCTGTGAGGGGCAAATGTTTAGGGTAAAAATACCCTAGACACATGGACCAATGAGAAGAGGCCACGTGTCGAGTTCAGGATGGCCCACGTGGCCTAATATCCTCTCGACATATGGCCCCCTTGGATAAACTTCTGAAATGGCGGCCTTCAAGGGCCCAAATCCTAAGAAGCGTTGTAAAACGGCGCAACCCACCAAAATCTAGGTCAAGTGACCTAGATAAGGGCACATTCTCCAATGACCTTATAAATAGGGAGATATTTCCCCACTTTGGGGACACGTTCAATCATTTATTACACCCATATTCTCTCTCATCAGAGAAACACCTGAGCTTGGAATCCAAGCAGATCCCCACCTAAATTTCCGTACTCTTTATTCCCTTTCAAGTTACTAACTTGATATTCGGAGGCGGAGCTCCAACCACCCCGAGTCTCCGTTGTTTTGCAGGTACAACTCAGCCGGACCAATCTTTGTGACGTAACTCTCCCGAGGGACAAAAACACCCAAAACAAGTATAATTGTAAAATACTCGTATCATTGTATTGCCTGGCTGAGCATCAAACAGCTTTAGTACTCCGCATGTTTCAAAGTTCAAACCCGAAATATTCTTATCCAATGAAGTTTGAACAAAATGTTTTTGTCGAAATCAATGAACAACAAACTTTAGTTCATAATCGACAAATAATGTGAAACAGAACCAAGCTATGGTAGAGTTCAGCTTGCAGACAACCCTATGAGGGATTGTTTTCATCAAGGCCTCAAAGATACCTCGTTAATTGAAATCTTTGCTGAATTTTGTTAATCCTCAACCCCTGAAGTCAGAGTCCATGTTGAAGACAAACGCCCTATAGGAATATAATCAAACAACGGCCTCAAAGAATGAAATCTTTGCTGAATTTTGTTAATCCTCAACTCCTGAAGTCGGAGTCCATGATGAAGACAAACGCCCCATAGGAATATAGTCAAACATAAATTATCAGAGAAGTACTAGCACCAGAACATGAACACAGACAAAAGACATAAAGCAAGCGAAATAAAAAGGGACACAACTCCAACCATCCAGCATAACCAGCATCCTAAACAAGTGTAAACTCCAAAGTCCTCAATCAATTGATCGATTGGAGAGGACACTTGACAAATTGACAACAGACTCCACAACAAGCCACCAATGGTTAACAGCTGAGTATAGACACACAGCTGCTAGAATTCCAATGGCTATTTCAAAAAATATGATGATATATTGATATGTGATGGTGCAGGGCAAGAGAGGCCGAGATTTTTTTCACGGAACATCCAACTCCAAGATCAAGGTGTACTTTAACATAAGTACTATATATATAAAACAAGAATGAAAATGGATCGAATCAACAGTTGAAAAGGTTCACTTTTTATTCATTATCAGAGATGAAGCAAAACTTTGTACAAGGTCGGCCTGTTCTTTACATGGCAAGGAACTCAGCTTGAGTAGGAGGATAAAACTAAAAATTAGAAAGGGATACAACCAAGGATAGATGTTCATCATTATTCGATGGGTTGCTGTACTTTGGTAGCTTGGTTCAGCTTGCGCTCAAAGGCTCATAGCAGTCTGTAATTACAAGTGATTGGAGGCTGAAAGGAACACCAGTCATTGGTTATACACCTTCAATGACAAAGGGCCACGCAATAGTTAGCTGTACAAATCCCCCCTATCAAATCGAAGCAGTTTTTGTGAATGCTTGCTACAGAAACACGACCTTTGATCTTCCTCTTTCACAGGAGTCTTCTGAAAATACAACTATGCTGCTTTCGAAGAGATTTGATTGTTCTAAAGTTCAAGGACTTAACCGTCCAGTTGTTAGATGATTATTATATTTATTCCTCTTGACCACATTTAGTAGGAAGTCCGTAAATATATGCTCGTATTCTGGCATTTTCCCATAACCTGCATAAACCATACAAATACAAAGTGAAAACAAGTTTTCCACAGCATTTAATATCTTTTGCATTGTCTTTATTCAATTTTTTCTTCTACTTTTTTTTAGCCATACTTCTGTATCTTAATTTAATGATAGCTGTGGCCTGTGGGGCATATTGTGATATTGGTACCAAATAGATAAAAATGAAATATGATCCAACCACACCTCTCAAAAGATAAGACGAACATCAGGATGTGTATAGAAAACTATGTACCAAAAAGGTTTTCATTTGTCAATAAAAAATGCATTTTTATAGTGCAAAAATGAGTCAGCTTACCAGGAAAGTAGTTGATATCAATAACATAAAAGTTATTGCGGGTCCCATATTCCCGTATCATGTCTAGATTGAATAGCTGGAGACCCTGGAAGAATGCAAAAAATGATGCAAGAGTAAGTTCCTGATAAGTCACTTAGATTGTGTAAAGGAACTAGGAAGTACGAACACTGTTGAACACTAATTACCAGTCGTCGACGTAATTCTCTGGCTAGTTTTTCTAGTAAAGGTCTAGGGGGTAGTTCTGCAAGAAGTTAAAAAAAATAAAATACAAGGTTATGATTAAGAGAGAAATTTTCTTAGGGATGTAGCAATGGATTGACAAAGTGGCATAAGAAGTTATAAGTTTTTACCAGCAACATCAGGATCCAGATCTGCATCATCCGCTGAGGCTACAGCACAAGACACTCTAGGAAAACGGTACACACCACTGGTTCTAGACAATTGACGTTTACTAACATTAGGTAGAGAGAATCGCCTCACAACTTTTATAGCTTCTCCAACTATAAAAACTTTGAATAAAACACCACCTAAATGCATCAAATTCATTGGAAACTATCAGAACTTAAGACACAAATTACTAGGGAATAAATATATAATTAAATTAGGTAGTAAAGATTATAAAATTACCATGATTCACAAACTCCTGCAATACGAGAGGTGGTTCAAGTTTCTGAAGAGAATACTGATCATATGCGAGTGATAGCTCATGTGATTTGGCACTCCCATCCGAAACTAAGGGCTTTGCAACTGAAATAATGTCATTTATGGTCAGATACAAAAGGTTTCACTTTTAAATATGTGTTGAGTTTCTTGTTCATGGTTTTAGCGTGTTATGGGGAATGATATACAAATCATTCTGTTAATTATGCATGCCCCGATAAACAAAAGAAAAGCCATAACTGCAAAAATTTCAGTGGCAATATCCTTAATGATAATTATAGTCCCAATTCCAAGTTAATATTACTGTATCTATCAAGTATACACAGAGTGATTAACATACCAAGAGGAAGCCTCAGCCTTTCCTTGGCAACTTTAAGAGCAATGGACGAAGCATCCTTTTTTATAACCAATTGTTGGGGAACATTAACATTTCCTGCACAATTTATTATCACAAGTTTAGTTCATGCTGGCAATTTGTAAAATCCTGACCTAATAGTTACCCCAAGGAACAATGTGCAGTATAATCCATGATTTACATGACTTACCGTAAGTGTCAGATAGATTCAAGTCAGCAACAACCTGTAGCATCGACTGCCGATTGTGTAGATGTTTTATGGCATCTGGTGGATCTAGGACAGTAACTTCAGGATGTGTTTGCCTGTAATCCTACAAATTACATAAGATAGGTATTAAGGGGTATGAAGGGCATAAACGTTGCACAAGTTTAAACCGATAATTGCAGTTGATAGCAAAATCATGTTTAAACTATGAGATTATCATCCAGAAGCTCTAGCCTCTGAAGGATGAAGTTCAATAAATATTTGAAACAACTCCAGAATTACACAAAAACGTGGATAGTGAAAAAATATATCAACCACAAGTACGCAACTTATATCCAAGATACCTTGATAAACAGAAACACGTAATTATATCATAGAATCCAATAGAGGAATTTTTTTTTTCTAGAATCAAGACTCAAATCTCGAGAAAATTAACATGGTTTAAACATGTTTTATAATTTTAAGTGAAGCTGTGAACCTCAAAATATCAAGTAGAAAAGGCCAAGGAAGAGGAAACATCCTCAGACCTCACTCACAGTTCAATTTGGGCTTCAGCCTGTCAATACCAGGTCATAGTTGGAAGCAGATGAAGGGGACTCTGCAATTTATATCACATAGGGAAAAGTTTCAAACAAGTAAAGATGTATTTTATCACAAGGCACCTTCAGACAAAGTGAACATCTCTTGATGAGTGAGGTAGCATAAAGAAACATCTAAAATATTTCAATAAATTATAGCATGGGACACTTAAATGAAACATGTAATAAAGCAATGAACTTGATATAAACATCTAGATGATGACAAGATCAGACAATATCACTAACCTCAAGAACTTGCTGCCACTCCTTTCCAGACAACTGCAACAAAAGTAAATGGGAGACAAATGCATTAGGTATCGTAAATACTGTCAATATGTCCATCCTCCGGCATATAGCTGAGGAAAGAGCTAACTTTTGGAGACAGGAAAAAATGCATATATCTTTACCTTGTGCAATACAATG